GTGCGCGGCGCTTCGCGCCGCGGACTATACTAATCTTACTCCAGAACGGTAAATTGGGCCACGGGTAAGTTGAAGTAGACGACCTCCAATCACCATTTCAATTTTTTGGGAAATTCAAGAAACCTGCAGTCTTATAATCGGGTTTTTCAGCAATAAGTTAGATGATAATACAGATTAGAAAAATCTGGACATTTAAATCTACAACATTTCAAAATAGAGTCAAATAAAAATCCATTAAGCATTTATTAAACTATATTCCACTGCGTGTCCCAATTTCCCGCCCAGTACCACCGTGTTCGTAGGAAAACCTGCAGGTTGTAGGGATTATTGTGTGGGGCTACATAAGCTACTGTTGCCATATTATCTACAGGGAATCACAGAGAGAACGCATAGAATCCACAATTTCTGATACAGTAAGTGGACTGCACTCTTCGTGAAATTTTATGCAAGCCCACGTGCACTAGCGGAGAGGGCTGTTAATGCCCTTTGTTACAGAACTGCCAACGAATTTGGTACATATTTTGATTGGTCATTTCAATTACAGTAAATGTGCTATCCCATTCAAAGTTTACGGAATTTCTAAAAAAAAGCTGCGATTAGAAACGATTACCGAAGAAGTGTTACGATATTTAATATTATATAGCATAGAATCTAGTTAATGCAGTCATCTCAGGATCCCTGCTTCTTTTTGATCATCCGCAAAACTGGCGCTATAATAAACGATTAGGTAAATAGTACGCATTTTTTTGATCTTTGATGCACTAATAAATCCAAAAATATTGTGTCGCAAACATACGTGACAGTACCCACTGTTACAATTATGTGGTAGCTAATTGCAACTGCTTCATCATTTATAGTTTAAAAACGGGACTTTGCGGTTTAAAAAAGTTAAATTCATGAGATTTTATAAGAGCGTAAAATGTTAGGGTAAAGAAGGCCGTATCTATCTACTTGTTAATGACATTGATTCATACACAGCTTAGTCCATCCCTACTACAAAGTGTTTGTCGTGTTTATACGACGTCATAACAGCATGTAGAAATGTATGATTTTCCTCATATGGAAAATGCGCAACTAGTGCTGTCGAAATCCTGAAGGCAAGTACAACAGTAGGCCAAGTTCCAATTATCCAGTAATTGAAAAAAATTAAAACCATAAGACGTTCGTTCTTCAGGAAGAATGTAACCGGCTGCTAATGAAGTACAAAAAATTTCTTTGTGCCCATCTTTTAAGATTGACAAGGACACCGCAACTCAGCGCGAAAAGGACATAATTATGCAATAATTGTTTAAGATGCATCATTTTTGTAGGCAGCCGGAAAGAAGTTCGTTCAAAATTCCCCAAAAATACGTGGCTGAAATATGTGGCTGAATTACCTTATTTTGCAGGGTGAATACTATTATAATCCCACCTAAGGTGGCTTTTCTAATAGAAAATACAGTACAGAATTTCGGTTAATATTAAAGGAGATAGAAAAGCTACTGCGTTTTGGTTCACTAGCTTTATAGAGTCCTAGGTTTGGTAGGAACTTGATTTGGGGAGCTATGAGATATCCGGAATGCCAAATCCACGCTTTGAAATCGACGGGTTAACGACCAAAGTCTATGCAAACTTCGGGCGTATTAAGTGACTGTAGAAGTGGAAGTTTTCTTGATAATCATTCCGCATAATTACTCATGCGTAAAAAGCATGATCCCGCCTTTTTAATTTCGTACATTAGATGCCTCACTTGCTTTGTCCATGGTGGAATTACTTGTGAAGGCGATTCGAAATCGTCTGTTCTTTTTTGTTTATGTACATTTAGGGAGTATCGCACTGTTTCCAGTATTTGTATCATATGGACTTTTGTGAAGATATTTGCCCAAGAGGTAGATTTATTACTAAGAGGAAGGGATGTTTAGGTGTCCAACAAATGCTGTTATGGTAAAGAGTGTGCGTTCGGAGATCCTCGGAGAGGCGGATTTAGATTGGTCAAAGTCATTAATTTTCCTTAGATGATAAACAACGCAACGTTTGTCGTGTTTTTCGATATTTCGGTGGACGTGAGCATATCCGGCAATTTAATTTTTTTGAGTTGACTCAATTGTGAAAAAACTCGAGGCGTTTGGCGGGATTTGAAC